AGTTTTAGACAAGAACAGAGGAAGAACACCTAAAGCATAGCACTTACAAACCCAGAAGCATATAATGACCAAACCAGGTCCTTTGACGCTAAACCAAGCAAGTTTTAGTCGTCTCCTTCAACTTCTTCTTTCTAAGTGTGTCCTATTCGAGTTTTCCTGCAACCACAGATTAAAACAGAACACACGCACACAAACTATGTCGAAATTGAAACTGAAATGAGGAACAAGAACACGCCACACGATTTTTACGTGGTTTCCAGTATTGGGAGAATAAGGATCCCAATAATGACTATTTCACGGTCGGGGACTCACGATTGTGTGATCTCCGAAGATTCACTAATGATTTTGAGTTGAAGTTCGTTGTAACAATCTATCTACCCGAAACCCAGTGATCAATCTCAACCCGATCAATCACTAACACTCACAGAACCCGAATTGCTTCCCCAGCAACACGTAACCAGTGTTTCCCCAACACTAACCCTCAAAACTGTTCTCCCCGAACCCTTTGAGAAAACCCTCTTTTCTATCAATCTCGCTACACTAACAAAATCCCCTCTTGTCTAGCTAGCGTTGTTGATCTCCGAAAAGGTTACCATTGCAGGTTCTTCATGTCGCCTTTTATAGACAGGAATATGACCGTTAGTCATTCAAATTCCTTTCCTATTTGTGATGATTTGATTGAGAACTCAATCCTCTAATTTGATTTGTAGTGACTCGTTTTCAGCACCAATGCAGCAACAGCCGGCAGATCGCGCTTTCGTCACCGGCAATCTATCCCGTTTCACCCTTGTCGATCGATTCGGATGAGCAGTCCTGATCTCCATACGTCCAGTCGACCTCGGCACAGTTCAGTCCGCCGTGGGTGACAAATCAATGAACAAGTATAACATCTCCAAGTCGTCTTATTTTGGACTATGTCATGCATCTGCTCATCTCCGGTTGAGCACGAGCAGATTTGTTGGTCATCGACTCCATTTCTGAATTCTTCTCATCTTTGTGGCCAAGTCTCCACAAGGTTATTTTGTTCGTTGGCAACGTTGCAAAGCAGAAGCTTTTTTGCTTTAATTATGTGGTGCTAGTTTGGTTCATTAAAGTTAAGAGACCAGTTGATGAGAGTCTACTTTGTGTCCGGCGTTCCTCTGCTGCTGTCCAATCATGGAAGGAGAAAGAGGTATGAGAAGAATGGAAACGGCGGGATCGCGGAGCAACCAGAGGTAGAAGGGTTTTCCTTTTGGGCTGCCCTCAAAAAAATGGGCCGCCTGTCATCTATTAATTGGGCCGCCTTATATCTGTCTTCAAATTCAGATATTGGGTCGGCGGAAAGCATAGCCGAAAATGGCCCTTATGGGCTCCCACATCTAATTTGGTAAGAGTTTGTATGGGCTCTACAATTAGATTTTGGGTCACTAAACTTGTTTGAAGGCTTTCTCCAGCAAAGGTAGGCAAGCATCGGTGAGGCATTCACGATCCATAAAATGGTCGTCCCCTTGCGTTCAAAAGGTAGTACGATCAAAGAAGAAGTCGTCCCTTCATCGTCCAGTTGGCATTCACGATCCAAGAAATGGTCGTCCCCTCTTCCGGTTCATTAGTGGGCACATATCAACCATTCATCGCTTTTCAAGCCGGGCATTCACGATGTTCATGCTCCGGCTTGAGGGGGAGAATAGGAGGTTAGCATACGTCGGTTGACTAATTCAGTCATCAGGTCGACCGCGATGTACCAAGTGTGTTCCAGTTCAAGAGACGCAGTCAATCGTCTCTATCATCAGGTTGTTCAGAGAGAATTAGTCGTCTCCAATCAACCTCGTCTGAGATGTTATTCATCTCGAGTTTTGTGGTTCAAGCCATCATGCTTGTTCTTCACGTTTACTTCTTCAAGCTTGACATTCTTGTCATTCATGTCTTCGCTTGAGGGGGAGTGTTGCGGTTACTTAAACCGTGTTAGTATTGGGCCTCGTCTTATTTGTTGGATTAGGATTTTAAACCTAAGTCTTTCTCTATATAAGCTTAGCTACGAGATTGTCGTAAGCAAGCCGTCAAGATGTAATCCTAATAAGAGATCAGCCGTGAGCTCTTATGAGCTCACCGTGGATTAGTCTCGATCAATCAATTGATCGAGGATACCACGTAAAATCCTTTGTCTCCTGTTCATTTATTTCCGCATCATCAAATTCTACATGGTATCAGAGCAAAACTCGATTCTGTGTTAGGGTTTTGTGCTTCCGCAACTCTCCGTCTTTTGTCTCTTCGTCAGCATCAATCAGTCACGGTGTGCGTAGACTCCAGTTGTAGCAACAATGGAAAAGAAGTTGCTAGCGGCATCACCAGTCAATTCCTTCCACGAGTATTCTATCGCCCAGCTGCCGTCCATGGCAATTCAGATCGCCTTGCTATTTGCGTTGTTCTCTCGTCTCGTTGGCGTTGTCCGCCTCCATAGTCGTCGTGTGTAGTGGACCACAAGAAGGGCTCAATTCCCGCGTTGATGACGTTGCTCTCACCAGTCAACTCCATGAAGGAGACCGATCAATCAACCTCCATTCAGTCACGGTCGTTCGCCTGCTCAGTCATCAGGGCGTTGCTACCAGAGCTCGTGTCGATGTCGTCGCCGGCAAGATGAGATCCCTAGATCCGCAACCAACGTCCCGGCCGTCATCGTCCGGTCACCAACCGGCCGTTATCGGTGACTCGTTTTCAGCACCAATGCAGCAACAGCCGGCAGATCGCGCTTTCGTCACCGGCAATCTATCCCGTTTCACCCTTGCCGATCGATTCGGATGAACAGTCCTGATCTCCATACGTCCAGTCGAACTCGGCACAGTTCAGTCCGCCGTGGGTGACAAATCAATGAACAAGTATAACATCTCCAAGTCGTCTTATTTTGGACTCTGTCATGCATCTGCTCGTCTCCAGTTGAGCACGAGCAGATTTGTTGGTCATCGACTCCATTTCTGAATTCTTCTCATCTTTGTGGCAAAGTCTCCACAAGTTTATTTTGTTCGTTGGCAACGTTGCAAAGCATAAGCTTTTTTGCTTTAATTATGTGGTGCTAGTTTGGTTCATTAAAGTTAAGAGACCAGTAGATGAGAGTCTACTTTGTGTCCGGCGTTCCTCTGCTGCTGTCCAATCATGGAAGGAGAAAGAGGTATGAGAAGAATGGAAACGGCGGGATCGCGGAGCAACGAGAGGTAGAAGGGTTTTCCTTTTGGGCTGCCCTCAACAAAATGGGCCGCCTGTCATCTATTAATTGGGCCGCCTTATATCTGTCTTCAAATTCAGATATTGGGTCGGCAGAAAGCATAGGCGAAAATGGCCCTTATGGGCTCCCACGTCTGATTTGGTAAGAGTTTGTATGGGTTCTACAATTAGATTTTGGGTCACTAAACTTGTTTGAAGGCTTTCGCCAGCAAAGGTAGTCAAGCATCGGTGAGGCATTCACGATCCATAAAATGGTCGTCCCCTTGCGTTCAATAGGTAGTACGATCAAAGAAGAAGTCGTCCCTTCATCGTCCAGTTGGCATTCACGATCCAAGAAATGGTCGTCCCCTCTTTCGGTTCATTAGTGGGCACATATCAACCATTCATCGCTTTTCAAGCCGGGCATTTACGATGTTCATGCTCCGGCTTGAGGGGGAGAATAGGAGGTCAACATACGTCGGTTGACTAATTCAGTCATCAGGTCGACCGCGATGTACCAAGTGTGTTCCAGTTCAAGAGACGCAGTCAATCGTCTCTATCATCAGGTTGTTCAGAGAGAATTAGTTGTCTCCAATCAAACTCGTCTGAGATGTTATTCATCTCGAGTTTTGTGGTTCAAGCCATCATGCTTGTTCTTCACGTTTACTTCTTCAAGCTTGACATTCTTGTCATTCATGTCTTCGCTTGAGGGGGAGTGTTGCGGTTACTTAAACCGTGTTAGTATTGGGCCTCGTCTTATTTGTTGGATTAGGGTTTTAAACCTAAGTCTTTCTCTGTATAAGCTTAGCTACGAGATTGTCATAAGCAAGCCGTCAAGATGTAATCCTAATAAGAGATCAGCCGTGAGCTCTTATGAGCTCACCGTGGATTAGTCTCGATCAATCAATTGATCGAGGATACCACGTAAAATCTTTTGTCTCCTGTTCATTTATTTCCGCATCATCAAATTCTACAAAAATTAATGGATCGCTCGAGTCCACTAATTTAAACAATCTAATTATCCAACATATGCTACTCTCCCCTAGTAAAGGCTTCACTAAGTTGTTGCCTCAGCTGCTTGATGTGAAACTATGAGTTATGCAAAGTTGTTAAACTCAACTTGAATAAGTTGTTGTTCCCGTTCTTCCACGGTAACCAACATGTATGCAAAAAATGTCACATTAGCATCGGTAACATAACTCTGTCAAATTGTACTAATGTAGAAATGCACCCATCATTGACGATCTAGCTGGATATAGTTAAAGCTGAAAACCCTTTTAACATTTCTAACATGAAACCATTACTAATTTCACAAGCAATAACAAATCAATTTTTCATTCACCATCAATTTCAAATAATTCTTCACTCCAAACCTGAGAAGCCTTTGGGTCCGCCACTTCTTGGAGCTATAATTACGGTTCTCGGTTTGAACTGAGAAGCCACCAACAAATCACGTTATGATGATACCAGCGCTATGGTGTTGGTGTAGGGCCGAAAACCAGTTATTAGTTAGTACTATAGTTTAAACTCATTAATTAGCATTTAGCAGGTACAACGCCGCCTCTATATTTGTTGTACGTAGGGCCGCCTACCCAAAGAATTCCATGCCCTATTGATCAACTTCCTCGGATAAATATGAATTGGGGATCATATAAATTTTTATCACGAGAAACTCGTGGAACTTGAAAATGCTTTCTTTTGCGTAACCATGGTGGATTTGATTTGAAATGGATGGAGTTGGAAATACTGAAACAAAAGTCTGTATATATAGGACCAATGACCGGTCATGTGCTTCATCACAATCTCTTTGCCTTTTCCGGGAAAAAATGGCTTCCTCCAGTTCCATCCAACGCAAAGTAGTGACGGAATTCCCCGGCGTCATCCGCGTCTACGACGACGGCACCGTGGACCGCCTCCGCGACACCGACTTCGCCCCGCCCTCCTCCTCCTCCCCCGACGCCGACGGAGTCTCCTCCAAGGACGTCGTCATCGTCCCGTCATCCAACTTCTCCGCCCGCCTCTACCTCCCCCGCCGTCATCGCCCCGCCGCCCTCCACCAGAAAAAACTGCCTCTCCTGCTCTACTTCCACGGCGGCGCCTTCGTCGTCGCCTCCGCCTTCTGCGCCAAGTACCACCGCTACGTGTCCCGCCTTGCCGCCGAATCCCAATCCGTCGTCGTTTCCTTCGACTACAGGCTCGCCCCCGAAAACCCGATCCCAGCCGCGTACGAGGACTCCCGCGCGGGCCTCCATTGGGCCGAATCTCATCGGGCCCGATGCGGGCCCGATCCTTGGTTAAACGAGCACGCCGATTTCGACCGGGTTTTTTTAGTCGGCGATAGTGCCGGGGCTAATATCGTCCATAACTTGGCGATGGGCCTTCACCGTGGACTTTTGTTTGGGGCTGCTTTGGTGCATCCGTACTTCTGGGGGTCCAAGCCCATTGGTTCCGAACCTAGTTTTCCGCAGCCCGAAGTGAGAGCTGCGGCGGACAGGTTGTGGCCGTTTATTTGTCCGTCGAACCCGGACAACGATGACCCGCGGGTCAAACCGGAGGCTCCCGGTGGACCGGGCCTGGTGGGCCTGGGCTGCAGGAGGGTGCTGGTCTGCGTGGCGGAGAAGGATTTGCTGAGAGATAGAGGGCGGCTTTACTACGAAACGTTGGGGCGGAGTGGATGGGTGGGAGTGAGAGAGGTTTTTGAGACGGAAGGGGAAGGCCATGGGTTCCACTTGTACGATTTGGATGGTGAGAAGGCTAGAGCTTTGATCAAGAGGATGGCGGCTTTCTTCAATTGCACCAATTAATCCGTAACTATACTTCCTTGATGTATGACTATGGAATTCGATCGCCAATCTTTGTTTCCTTTTTCGTTGCTTGTTTCATTTTCGTTGTGGGTTTCTAGTTGGCTTTGCTTGTTGATTGAACTTTATGGATTTGTTGTTGGACGGGTTTTGGGTAAATTGCATGGTTGGTCACCGAGATTACAAAAAACGTTCAAGTTTGATCACTCGAAATATTTAAATTTATTGGTGGTACTTCAGTTTACTGAAATCATTCATGTTTGGTCACTCTCCCTGTTCTAACTCCGTTAACTTTGGCTGATGTGGCAGTCAACTCTCAAAGTTGACCGTTACCTTAGTGACGTGGCAATTAAGAAATAATAAATAAAATAAAGATTAATCTATTTTAATTTCCAACTCATTTTTACCATAATAAATAAAATAAATAATTATTATAATTATCAAATTGAAAGGGGATGCTATGTGGTGGGGCTGTGGGTATTTGAGATTCTGCGGAGAGTGGAGGAAGATAAGTGGGTTGATGGATGCAGAGAGAGGGATTTAGGGATTTGGGGTTTGTTGGATGAGATAGAAACCGTTAGAGGGAAGAAGGGATGTGGGGTTTGTTGGGTGTGACGGTACCAGCAAGAGGGAAGAAGGAATTTGGGGTCGTGGCTGATTTCCGATGATAAGGGAGCCGCAGCAGTGTGGGTGGCGTGCAAAAGGGAGAAGCAGGTAAGGGAAAAGTCGATGATTTCAAGGCAGATAGGAGAGGACAAAGCAGAGATCTGTGTGTGCATAGGCCAGAGGGATGCAACGAAAGCTTGAGTTGAAGAGGATGACCTTCTGTCCAATGGGTAAAAGTGAATTCTAGCGGTTCCTCGCCATCGAGTTGGATAATTATCAAATTGAAAGGAGATGGGCGGCGGCCGACTCGTAGCAGGAGGTGGTGGTGGTGGTGGAGATTCGGCGAAGGAGGAAGGGTTGGAACTGGAGACGGCAGGGGAGGAGGAGGATTTGATTCGGGGTTCACAATGATCTTTAAGACCTCATGGCGGAGGGAATTGGAGGAGGAAGAGTGGAGAAGAAGTGATTGCGGGGAAGGATGTGGTGTCGGGCGCCTCTTTTAATTTGGTAATTAATAATTATAATATTGTTTTGTTTAGATTAAATTTTATTTATTAATTGTCACGTTACTAAGTTAACAGTCAACTTTGAGAGTTGACTGCCACACCAGCTAAAGTTAACGGAGTTGGACGGAGAGTGATCAACATGAACTATTTCAGTAAACTGAAGTACTATCAATGGATTTAAATATTTCAAGTGACCAAACTTGAACATTTTTTTGTAATCTCAGTGACCAACCATGCAATTAACTCGATGGGTTTTCTTTGTAGGGTTGTGATGGATATATATTTGAAAAGGGGTTGTTGTCTGTAATCACAATTTTTTTTTTTTTTTGACGAAACGGAGTGCTACGGGCACTCCAACCGTTATATATTAACCAAACACGGTGTTTCCACCTCGATCAAATCAAAAAGCAACCAGTAGTTCAGGAGCGGGTAATGCCCCTCAATAAAATGGAAACCGAAGAGTAAGCTATGACCAACTAAAGCAAGGTAATCAACCACAACGTTTCCTTCTCTAAAGACATGAATCAACTGAACTTGCCAGTCACAAGAGAGCAAACGACGCGCTTCTTGTACCAAAAGAAAGTGAGGATGCCGATTTGCAGCTTCCCTGATCAAATAGATCGCCATCTGTGAATCGGTTTTCACCATAACTTTCCTATAGCCTTGTTTCCACGCCAAACGCATCACTTGAACAATTCCCTATAGCTCCGCGTCTAGTGATGGAAGTTTCTCCCAAATTCATGGAAAAGGCTTTGATCATTCTTCCATCCTCCCCTCGCAAGATTCCACCCGCTGCCACTTGGCCATTGACCACTGAACCATCCGAATTCATGGACACCCAACCTTGAGGGGGATTTTCCCATCTAATGTCCTGACTTCTTCTATTTGTACTTGTCTCCGTCTCAAGTATATGTCTTTTGGCAGCCGCCCCTGTTGGAAATGAATGGGGATATGAATAGCTTTTAAAGCTATAGAGTTTCAAGGAGGAAAAACTACCACATTGGTAGTTTTACTTTGGTGAAATGTGTATAAAGATAGGAGTCTCTCTCCTAAGGGCATGCCCCTTGGGGTGACCCACAATTGTGGGAGAAGGAGGACCTAACGGATCACCACACACATGCGCGCCAACCGACCGGCCGGTTGGTTGGCTGGCTTGAGACTATATATATTTTTAGAGAAATTCCGAACAAAATTAATTAATTATTAATAGGTTATTCTGTATCCTAGACTAATACGAGTTGGAAGAGGATAATCGATTAAAAGGAATATTCGAAGGATAATCCAGCAGAATAATTATCTTCCTTAATTAATCCGACTTGTTCTCCAAGTAAGAGGGTATATTCCTAGGGGTTCGGCTCCTATAAATAGCCGCCTCCCCAGCCCCTCTAAATACAACACAAACGAGCATAAACACAATAAGAGAGAGTGTTCAGAGAGGTTCAGTTTTCGCACAAAACCACGAGTATACGAGAGGAGCTGTTTTATCCTAGAGACGAACGTTTTCTAGTATGTCGAGCGCTTCGAGGGCAGTGCCGTGAACGTCTTAAAGAGAGCGACCAAGTCCGCGACAAAGCTCCAGATTCGGTAACCTCATTCTTGGTTGTTGTTCCGTTTCTAACATAACCTGCTGGAGCAAATGGTTGTAAAGCCAAAACTACATGAATCTACGATTAATAGAATTTAACATCGGTGCAATCTGCCAAAAATGGCTCCGAAAAATTTTCTGATACATCTCCTGAAAAATTCGTCTTTCCAGTTTTCCATCCAACCCAAATTTATTCTTACTTTTAATTACCTTTTGGTATCCAAAACTTCTAAAAATACCCAAAACAATATTAATTCAATAACATTATCTCAAGATTAGCAAACCATCCAAGCACAAAATTAATAGAATGACTACTAAAAATATTTAGGTAAATATTGTGACCGTACACAAAATTATAGTTTTCCATAGTTTGGACAAATGTACAATTTTTTTATGGTATACAAACTGAACTTTTTAACTTTAACGTTATGATAAAAGTTCGATTTATACTTCGAGAGTCGAGACACCAATACTTTAACACTCCTAGCTTAGTCATGAATGTACCATGAATGCAGTACCCACTCATTCGAACAAACTATGTCTTAAGGTGTCAATCGGGTGGGTTCAGGTTGGGTTCAATTGGGTTACGGGTTAGTCGGGTTTCAGATTCATCGCTTTAGGGGTTCATCGGGTTCGGGTTAGTCGGGTTGCGGGTTAGTCGGACTACGGGTCAATCGGGTTTCGGGGTAGTCGGGTTCTGGGTCAATCGTGTTGCGGGTTGTGCGCGGTGGTTCGGGTTGCGGGGTTTTTGGGTCAGCGCATTGAGTTACGTACTTCCTACTCGTAACTGCAATTTGCACATTTTATAAACATATTTCTTTAAAAAAAATCATAATTTTTAGACTATTTATTTCCACATCGTATATGTAATATGTACTTATTGAAGTTAAAAAAATTGAATCATGTTGTATAACTTGCAAACTTGTCATGTAATTAGTCATAAATCGGTAAAGCACACTAGTTAATAGTTATGGTGATATACACACACATTTTTATTTTTTCATCTAATAGTCCTAATCCAACCACAAATTATATAATGTATTATAAAAATATATAAGTAAAATTGTGGGGTGGAGGAAATCTAAATTTGAGGGGGAGGAAATGGGAAAATTTTGTGAGGGAAATCTAAATTGGAGGGGGAGGGAATGGGGAAATTTTTGGATGGAAATCTAAATTGGGGAAAGGAAAAGTGGGGAGAAATCTAACTTGTGGGGGAAAGTGGTGTAGTGAACTTTAATTATACATTTGGGGTTTTCAAAACTTATGTTTTTATTTATCTTAATGTTAGTGAACTTATTGGGGGAAAATCTAAATTGCTACTATAGTTAATTTAAAGTAAAAATCATATTTTAGTTTTTAGAACATACATTAAAAAGTGATATTTGGTATACACTAACCATATACTCTATACCCTAAACCATATATCCTAATACCCTAACCATATATCATTATGAGTTACGATTTTGCTGCTATAGTTAATTTAAAGTGAAAGTCATACTTTGATTTTCAAAACTTAGATTATAAAGAGATATTTGATATACCCTAAACATATATCATAAATCATATGCCTTATACCCTAACCATATAGCCTTACGAGTTATGATTTGCTACTATAGTTCATTGAAAGTGAAATTCAGACTTTGATTTTCAAAACATAGATTAAAAAGGGATCTTTGCTCTACCCTAAACATATACCATATACCTTATACTCTAACCATATATTCTTATGAGTCAAGATTTTGCTACTATAGTTAATTTAAAGTGAAAATCATATTTTGATTTTCAGCACATAGATTAAAAATTATATTTGGTATACCCTAACTATATACCCTAAACCATATAACCTAATACCCTAACTATATATCATTATGAGTTACAATTTTGTTGCTATAGTTCATTTAAAGTGAAATTCAGACTTTGATTTTCAAAACATAAATTAAAAGGGATCTTTGCTATACCCTAAACCATATACCATATACCTTATACCCTAACCGTATATTATTATGAGTTATGATTTTGCTAATATATTTAATTATAAATTAAATTCAAACTTTGATTTCCAAAATATAGAGGATATTTGTTATACTCTAAACATGGTTTTGTCTAAGTCTAGAACAAAAACTTGATTAAGCATATAATCTATAAGTAATTAAGTATATGATTTATAATGTAAAATAACATGTATTTGATATAATTCAAGTGATAATAGATTGAAGATAAGATAACTTATTATAGATTTTCAAATCTAATATAGTCAAATAATCATTCCATATAAGAGCATAATATAGTTAATTAGTCATGCCCTC